AATAAGTATTTTTATTCATATCTGGCAGATCTTTTATCCAACCCTGACACAAAGTCTCCCAGTCCTCCAATAGGGCCTCACATTATACCAGCAAATGGACATTCATATGGAGCTCAAGGTAAATCTTAAGTCTGACATGTTTCTATTGTTTTCCTTTCCCACAGTTTTTATCACATAGAAACTCCTGATGACTTAACCCCATCATACTTTTGCCTGTCTGACATATATCTATAGCAATAATATGCAGCTTTAAGCTAATAATAATCGAGGATTGCTTTCTTATAAATTTGAAGTTGTTGCATGTGTAGACATGCAAGAACATTATACTTAATCTTTGGTGGAAGTAACTTAAACTTTTGTTTTTTTCTTTTTTTATATGGTTGTACTTTGATTGACTTTTAACTAAATTTTGCAAAAACAAAAAAAATCATAAATAGAATGTATCCCATATCTATAAATTAAGTCTCACTGACTATTTTTCCAACTTTTACCTATTTTTTATTTGATTTGGTGTTATAATCTCATCTTTATGTAATGTTTTTTAATGTGAAGTAAACTAAATGGTTGAATCTGTTCCCCGATGTTCATTCATTTCTCTGTCACCATAGTGATGTACCAGATGGTTGTCAGTGGTAAAACTTTTGATGCCCATCTTCAGCTGATGGCCAAGGTCCAAGCTCAGATGCAGGAGCGGGTTCAGCTCATTTCATGCAGTCAGGAGGGCCAGGTCCTCATAGTATTCTGCCCTATCACTTCACGTGCCGGGGCAGATGTTGATGGAGCCATGACTAATATAACAGGTAAACATAATATCAGCTCAACCTAAGATGAGACACAGTTATATTATATAAAAAAAACATATTTTAGGAGTGATTTATTTTTAAATCTTTTCTGATCAAACTATTTTATTGATTTCCTGCAGATTAAGAAATAAAAAGGATGATATTTATATTAGTTAAAAAAATTTTGCATCATAAATCTTTTCAGATTTTAGAAATTATAACCATCATTGCACCCAATATTATTTAGCTAAATATTTTTTTCTGTTTTGTTTTTACACTATCAATTTATTTAAATTAATGTAAATAGTTTACTTGCTTATTCCTTTATGCTCGAATATTATGGAAAGAAGTTCAATGTATCATCTCAAATAGAAATGTTTATTGTTACTATATTTAACTCTATAAAACATGCATAAGACTTATTTATGTCTCTGTTGCTGGCACAACATATCCCCGCTAGGCAAAAATAAAAGATATTTCCCTCCGATTCGAGCTTTAACTAAACTTTTATGTTTTTCTACAGGACATGAACCTGTTATTCTGGTCTTGATGCACCACACACTTGACTTCAAGCACATGGCAACGAGGAGGACATGGTCGGATGACTTAAATATCGTGCTGCACGTCAATATTTTCTACCATGAGACAGCGCATGGATTGCTGAGGTGTCAAGAAAACTACAAGGCTGTGATTCAGATACAGAACAAACTATTGGAATACTGTACTCCAGGAAGTAAATGGGCTGTGACTGGTGAATATAATAACCCTGGCATTGACAGCTGCTCCCGTTTGGACAGTGGGGGCAGTGAGTTTGGATTTAGGCTGTTTGGCAGCAGCAGCAGTAGCAGCAGCAGTAGTAGCAACTGTGATACTAAGAGTATCTGGGGGCCTGCAGATTAGATGTTTATTTATATTTCTTTTTTGTTTTTGTTTTCAGGGATGTCGGCTTATAAATATATTAAAGGTATATTTCTACAATATTATATTTTGTTTTTTTTTAGATGTGATTATTTGCATTTGGTTTCTATATTTGTCCTTTTATATATTTACCGGAAAATAAAGTAGTGTAAAACACTTAAATAATAAATTGCTGTGCATATTGAAGGTAATAAAAAATTTAATCAATTATATTCTTCTGTCCCTTTTTGATTATTAATTTCATAACCTATATTATAATAGGAAAAATACAGATGAAAACCTGTATTATATTGATAGTTGCTTTATTTTATTTAGAAATAGATTTCAAATGATGGTTGTCAATATAGTAACCTATTATCTTGACAATCTGTATATTATTTTTATATTTCTTATATAAATATAAATCTATGAGTTTAATCTAGATATATATATATCTACAGTAGATCAGTTGCATTCAATCTGATATTCTTATTGATATAATTTATCCTCCCAATTTTCACATAAAATTATCTTAAATGTATATACGGTAGTTGTATGCTTTACTTGAAATGGATTAGATAAATTATCTACATATGATATACTAGTATACTGAGTGCTATTTGTACAGTGACTGTTTTTCCACAGTAGTGTTTCAATATATTAGTTTCAGCACTCCTGTAGCAAAAGTGGTTCTGCAAAAAAAAACATAGATAAATATATAAAAGATATCTTTGTGGAAAATATTTAATTAATTTTATTTATACAGTGCACATATCATCTCAAAGCTCTTTACAGACACAGTTCAACCAGATCATACAGTCAGATTGGTTCAAAGTTTTCTATCTAAGCACAACCATCTGATTGTATCGACTCATTGACTCGAAGGCAATCCCTCACAGTAAGCATGCTTGTAGCGCAGTGGAGAGGAAAATCTCCCTTTTAACAGGAAGAAACCTCCAGCAGAACCTGGCTCTGTGTGAGCGTCCATCTGCCGAGCCCGACTGGGGTTCAAGGAGACAGAAGCAGAGATACAGAAAAAAAGGAGAGATAAAAAGGTAAATGTCAACCAGCTCCACAAGTGGCCCCATCCAGGAAACACACAGCCAGGCAGACGAGCTCCGAGCTGGCCCCCATGTCAGCGGATGAAGAGAGCACATCCAGTTAATCACAGTCAGAAAACAGGACCACGCTGAAAAACAGGCCAATCTTCAACATCTATAAACAAGTGTGTTGATGGCAGCAGCACAGCTGATATTTCTCTTCAGGATGGTGTGACAGCCAAACAGGAACAGACCAGATGAAGCTACTATATATACTATATATATTTTATATAAAAGCTTACTGCTTAAAAAACATTTCTTTTGAAATTATTTCTGGTTGTTCTTATAAAAGGTCCTAATTGTATGAATGAAATTAATTCACATTTCAAATAAACATAAATAAATATAAAAACTAACTATAAGGGAGTGAAACATAATACATTTCNTGTATGAATGAAATTAATTCACATTTCAAATAAACATAAATAAATATAAAAACCAACTATTAGGGAGTGAAACATAATACATTTCTGAGTTTATTTTGGTTTCATTTATCCAGAAAGTCAGGTGCTTAGAGCGCCCTCTATGGGCTGGCTTCAGAAACGCAGCTTAACATAAGTTTCACTTTCTATGACAGGAAGCGGTGAGTATGCAAAGATCACAAGCCTATATGATTTAATTTGCGCTTAAACGGTTAACAGTTTAACTAATGTTATTTATCATGTAAACGTTGCAAATATACGTAAATGTATTCAAACTATTAATTGGTATATAGGTGTAGATAATTTATTTAACGTCTTTGTTTTTTCTCTTTCGTTTTTACAGACTCAGAACCGAAACAACAGTGAGAAGCCAACCAAAATAAACGACATAGTTTCCTTCTGCTTCTTATTCCTCCTTATATAAAACATGAGCGTGTTGTTAAAGGAAATACGAAGCTACAATTCAAACGCAGCGATCGTACTGGAAAGTAGGTGATATTTATTAGATTTATGTGATTAATCTAGGGGCCTTTCACTGGAACAGGATCAATTAGCGTTCACTCCACAATTTTTCTTCTTGTTAAATGTATTAATGTGTAATTTCTTTATTGAAATCATTTTACAGAGGCGAATTTCTGCTCTGACTCAGAGATCCAGTCTCTCACTAGAATCGATCTAAATGAGCTTTTTCCTGGACCTGAGAAGCTGAAGCTGAGGAGGTCCATCTTTGAGAAAATAAACAAACAGGTGTTTATTTCATTTGTGTTGTGACCAAGTACACTTTTACTACATGCATTTGAACAAAGCTACATTGGTACAGTGCCTGCATATGGAGTTATTTTAGGTTTTTATTAAATTTAAGAAAAAAAGTGGAAAATAATTTTAAAAGTAAAATAAATATATTATGTAAAGTAATGTCCACAATGATACCAAAACCTGATGCTATTTAAGAATTAAATTTTATAAAAGATATTTTGATGAATTAAAAAAATCTTTTTTTTTGTCTTTGCTCTTGATTCAGGTTTTTTGTCTCTATGTGAAAAATTTATCATTTTGTAAGCCAAAAATAATTGAGTGTAAAAGTACATTTTTAAATTTTTTTCCCCCTGAAACACATTTCCAAATGTCAAATTATCTTTTATTTATTTCATGACAAAATGTTTTCTCATAAAACATTTTCTTCAGTCTCAAATAACATCAGTTTTTGTAATGAGTTTGGACATTTATTTTTCTCCCAATTTATTTATTTTACTTTTAAATTGTTTTCCCCCTTTCAGGTCGCTTTTTCCTTAAATTTTATGAAAACACAAGAACTCCATACATCCATGCATGCATACACTCATATACCTTTGGCTTGTTTTTCCTTTTTGTTGTGATTCATACAGAAACCAATTGAGAAAGTCCTGCAAGATCTGAGAAGTTTCATCCCTGAAGATTCCATAAAGGGTGTGTTTATTTGTTTTTTTTGTTTTTTATCAGAAAATACATTTAGAAATAGAATATCATCCATAAAGCATGAATGTGCCATCCTTGTACTCTTTTTTTCAGATGCCCTAAGCAGCGGTGGGGTGTTGGTAGACTATCTCCATGTGCTGAAGGACACTCATGCTCAGCTGAGCAATGTGCAGCATTTTCTTAAAGCACACATTAGTTTATTGGAGGACATCAAAGGACAGCCACAGCAGAAACATCAACCAGGTCCAGATTGCATTGTTTTGATAAAGCCTATAAGAATCATTTTACCAGCATATTTTTACTTTTTTTTTTAAATCTACCGTAGCTATCGTTAAACAGATATACTGGAAATGATACCGATTTTTAGGACTGTTAACACTTTTTTCAGATGTAAAGATTTTAAATAGAAATGGGGATTGTAATCCAACCAACATAGAGTATCTTTTGTAAAAACAAAATCTGCCTCACAAAAACAGATGTTTTATTTGAACAAATTCCAATGGTTTGTATTTAGTTGCCACTTTGTTATAATTCCTTATAATGATTACATGTTCATAAAAATCCACAAATTAAATAATATAGGTTGTGTCCGAACGTCTGCCCTAATCACTTTATAGTGGTTAGACCATTTTAGATGAGTGTCCGAACGTCTAGTGGGTGAAAAACCCTCTATAGACGTTGAATAGTAGATGATCACTGCTTGAAAAGTAGCAATCATCCCTGGTCACTAGACAAGCAGATATATACCAGAATGCTTTGCAAGTGCTCTCCTTGCAAAACATCATTGGATTTGTTGTGGCGGAGAGAAAGAACAAAGATGGCTCAGGTACCTTGGTGGGAGGCGGAGTTATGTGACCAATGGGGAGCGAAAAGTAGTGACAATCTGTACAAACGGTAAGTTAACTGAATTCACCATAAAGTCCCCTATATAGTCCCCGCTCTATAAAGTGATTGAGGGATTTAGGGGTTAGGGTGGACGTTCGGACACCAGCCCATGACTGCAGACTGTGTAATTTAACAATGAAACTTTGCTTTGTAGGCTCTGCAGCTAAGCTGCTGGATGCTCGAGCAGCTTCCAGAAATGAAACCGCCTTACAGAAACCTCAAGGTGTCCATCACTTTTTACCAACTTTATAATTTATAAGTTGTATTAATTATGATTCCTGCTGGTCTTTTTTAAAGAAAATTAAACTTCATTATTGTTCCCCTAAGTATATATATATATTTTTTTTATGTTTACTTATTCAACAGACTCATTCTCAGGGGCTGGGAACCAAAGTGTTTGGGGTTCTACACAATCAAACTTCTGGTCAAGCAGTTATGGTCGCTCCCAGGTTGCACAAGGTAAGATGCATTTTTTTTTTTGGCCTTGAATCTATTTTAGTTTAATTAAAACAGTTTTTATTTATTTTCTAATTTATTTAATACATTCTGTAAGTTCCAAAACTGTATGTCTTAAACTTTTCTCTTAGTGATGGTGAAGTTCAAGATGGTGGTCGGCGGTAAAACCTTTGATGCCCATCTTCAGATTCTGGATAAACTCAGGAGTTCAACACAGCAGCTGATGTTGGTAGAGAGTCAGAACAGTGAGGATTGCCAGATGGCGTTTGTCTTCTGTCCCGTCGTTTCACGCGTTGGGACCGATGTGGAAGCAGCCATGAAACTGGTTACGGGTAAGACTATGAGCTTCTCTAAACTTCTGCATTGAGTCTAAGAATCATATGTTTATCTGTTTTCAATCTGACCTTTTTTTTTTTATATTTCAAAATATGGGAAACAGTTTTTATTTATTTAAGCATAAACACAATAAATAACCTGTTGTTTCAAACATCATAATTTTCATAATAAATTTTTGCCACTAATCTTTTTGTCCTTAATGATGAGAAAACAATGAGCATCTGTTTGTTTTTCTGACAGAAAATCTTCTTATGAATATATCTTTATTCCTGATATATTCACTCTCTTTTGTTCTTCACAGGTGATATGCCTGTCATTCTGGTTTTGATGCACCACGCTCATGAAGCGAAGCCTGTTACTACGATGGGAACCTGGGAATGCAACTCTGTTATGCACCATGTTAATGTGTTTTACCATGAGAAAGCTAGAGGATTAATAACCTGCAAAGAAAATGATAATGCCATCTCTGATTTACAAAATGTGTTATTAAAACGCTGGGTAAATTCACAGTCAAGTGACAATTTGGCTGACACAAACACTGGCCATAACAGTCCCTCTGGCAGTGCTAACTATGAACATGATGGTCAAAATAAAAAGGGGGGTTTATTTAGTGGTAGATTTTTTGGCCTTGGATAAATGGTAGGGCAAAAAGTAGGGCACTGCCAACAGTTTAAGTGATTCAGATTTTCCTGTCAGTATCCATACTTAATGACATGATTGTGATATGATTGTGGCTTTAGCCACAAAATTATCTGTATGTACCAAAAAAGGTTTGTCATTGTTCATTTCCCCTACAACATTAAGTAAACTTTTCCCAAACCTGCTTTTTATGTTGTCTTGTTTTGACTAATCGATCTTTTGCCTTTAAACAATTATTACATCTGTATGCATATGTCAGAGTTATTGCACACACTAAAGTAACTTTTAACATTTACAGTTTAGCCAAAAAACATTACGATAAATACAGAAGAGAAGTATACAGTATCAGATGGTACTGTATATTAAATTCAGTGGCTTAACCTCCCACTTAAAAGAATCTACTGATTGTCCATTTAGAAGCTTGACCAGATTTTCTTTCACATCGGATGTAAAATGTTTGTTAATTTAAAAATAGTAGAAATATCTTTTATTGCCCTACTTTCAACATTCCATTCTGATGTACCAGCAGCAAAGTAAAAGGCAAAGGGAGGCGTATGGACACAGCCAGCCTTTTGAAAAAGCCTTCTTATTTTAAAAGGTTAAACAAAAAAAAAACAAAAAAGATAAAAATAGAGTAGAGCCAAATTTACGGCTCAAGAAAAAACATTTAGAGCCATTAAAGAGATTGTGTGCTATTATTTAGGCCAAAGTAAAAATCCTGCATTTATTTTTGCAGAACAAACTACACAATAAATTAAAAACACAGTGGGAATGTCCGTCTTTTGGGAGCAGTGGTGGTTAAAAATGTAACAGCTGCTTGGGGAAATAATTTCCTAGCAGACATAAATCAAAAATAAATACATACATACAACAGACATAAATCAGGTATTAATTAGTCTGTCATATACAGACTAATTAATACCTTTACTTCGAAGGGAAAACTCTTATTTTGAAACTCTTCGTTTTATTTAGAGCAAGACCGGAAGTTAGCCGTGTTTACAAAATGCTTCATCCGGTTTGGGCTATCAGCTAGCACAGTTGCTGAAGTTTTGTGTTTTTCTAAATAGTCTGAAAAGTTATTTTTTAAACGAGTCATTCAAAATGTAATTCTGTTAATATTTACTACCAATAAACACAGCTTTCCCTCGGCGGTTAGCTTGTAGCTGTGCAGCAACATAAGATGTTAGTCTGTCATGATATTCGGGCGTATGCTGTTGAGTCTCAGTTTGCACAGGTCCAGCAATGTTAGTTTACAGAAACTGAATGTCGTTAAAATTTGGAAGCTGCATTCATCGTTTACGAACAGTTTTATTAAAGTAGAAACTTTTCAACCGAAGGTACAGCGATTTAGATCTGAGGTAAGAAAATAAGCCTAATCTACACTCAAGAGGCTTAAATAAAAATAATTAAACCATCGGCGTCTGTTTCAGGTTACAGGTCAGACTTGGGTCTGTTTACCAGCTGTGAGTGTAATGCAGCCAGCCAGCTCCTGCTTTGGAGGGGAGGCCAACACGGTTTCCTCTGATGGTGAAGATGATGATGAGGAGGGTTACAGTGGTGGAGCTGACACCCTGGTGGAAGTGAAGAGTGAAATGCAACAAGATAAGAAGATGCCCACTGATCTGGTTGATGTGATGGAGGTCCATAGAAGTAAAGCAGATGCTGAAACCCCTGCAGTGTTCAGTGAGTAAATCATTTAGACACATGATCAATGTTTACGAATTGCCTTTATACATAATAGAGGATCTTTGCTGGATTTATTTCTTTTTTATTATGGTTTTTGATGTGAGTTATATTGTATTTCTATGATTTGTACATAGAAAATGTAACGGGAGTATATTGGTTGCAACTCAAGTCAGGATGCAGATATATTTTTAGACAACTCATAAAGAAATACTGGTTTTTAGATCCTTTATACATTGATCCCTTCCTTAAATGCAAAACTCATCCTGACCTGTGCTGGTATAATAAATTCTAACTTTGGTTTATTATCAGAACTTGAAATGCAAAATATGAATTCATGAATTAATCTAAAGTTGATTGACCTACTAACCATTAAATAATAAGTGGCCAGGTTTTCCATGTGGCCACAGCTGCCCAGGAGCTCACTGACAGAAGCTAAATTGCTGCATACAGGCTTGACCAGCATCAGTAGGCAATTTGGGGTGAAGACTCATCCCCAAGGACACAACGGCAGAGTAAAACAGAGCTGAGTGTCGAATTGGCTTCACTCCAGTTGCAGGGCGAACGTCTGCATCCAACAGCACTCTTACCCCACAAAAGTTTAGTGTAACTCTTCTATCCTCATATTGTCGCATTCCAAACAAAGCAGAGAAGTTGACGCTGCTATACTCTGCAGCACAGATAAATGCTATTTCGGTGATAACTAATGTTTCTTAAGTGTTTATATTAATAATCAAAATTGCATAAAGTGCATAATGCATCCCTGTTGACATCAAACAGTGTCAATAATCCCAGGCCACACCATAGACTAATTCATTGCTTCTTCCACATATCTGAAATGGTAGCTCCTACCTCCTGTTCCTAGCTCATATTCCTTCACCTTTCATTGGGTCAACAACAGGAACGCTATGGCTGAATCCAGCCTTCAGCATTACAAACGTCATTACTTGACAGAATCATGCATAGATGATGCGACTGTACCTGCAGCAATCTGGAAAAGAACTGCAAAAAAAAAAAAAAACAGAAGTTACACAAATGTAACAGCAGCTAAAGCTCTCTCTAGAAAAAACACAAAATATAAAGATTCCCACATTAGCATGTGTCACACAGAGCACATTGAAGAGACCATGTTTTTTGCTAAGATTCATGATGTTGGCTGTGCCAGTATAAACTGTCACGCAAAGGATCATGAGCAACCGTATAGCTACTAGCCTCAGCTATGTCAGGATGTCCCTAAATGAATTGCTGCGCCCTTTCCTACCTCCAGCTTCCTTACTGCCAATACTATTTGAATAATACTTAAGATGGTGATCGCTGACCGACTTCCGCTTAGGCTTACTTGTCCTTACAGATTTGAGGGATTCTAATTGAGCCCTTCTTTCTGCTCTAGTATGCCTCCACTCTGGCATTACAAGCAGATAGTAGTGAGGCTCTGCTTAACAATGAACGGGACATGAATGACTTGATGGCTGTAAAATTTCAACACTGAAAAAAAATCCTCTAAGTGGACATCATCAGTTATTTAAATTGAACACATTTTTATCTAATACATTTTGATCATGCATCTCTTCCCATCAACTCTGACCAGCTTTCCACAACATAATACTGCCACCACCCTGCTTCATCACAGCAGTATTGTTTCCAGGGTTAAACTGCAGTGTTAGTTTTCCATCAAACTTATTTTGTGTCTATCACATAAGATCCTAATAAAATACATCAAGGTTTATCAGTCCACTATAAAAAAAATCTAAAAACATATAATAGCTCTTAGTACTTTATAAAGATTTATTTTAATAATAAATACGTCTTCTCATTTATTTATTATCCCCCTTTTTTTACAGAATCAAATGAAAAGAAATCAAAGAGGAAAATTAGGAGAGAAAAGATGAAGCTGATAAAGAAGAAGCTGAAATCAGTCGAGGCGTCGGCCAGCTTAATGTCTGAGCTTCCATTTGCACTGACCAGCCCCACCACATGGAAAGAGCTTGGATGTAAGTCTAATTCATGATGTTCTTCAACTGTGTCAGTATGACCAGCGTAAATTAATGTAGCTGACCTACTGATAACAAACTACTTTCAGTTTCATGTAACTTATGTTCTCAAAAGTGTTTGTGTGTCCTGTAAAGTCCCCACCCTAGAGACAGCTGAGAAGAAGAGGAAGAGAAAGAGAGGAGACAGCGGGGTCCGACTGGACAGTGAGGAGGATGTTGATCAGAAGAAAAAGAAAAAGAGCCAAAGACCAAACTACTTTGTATCCATACCCATTACTAACCCTCAGGTATAAAAAGCCTAATATAGGCTAGAATTTCTATGTTAATCTTTGTTTATAAAATGTTTCTAATTAATAAACAGAGAATAACTGTTATGAAAAATCTCTTCTTCTGTTATTGGAAATGCTCATCTTGGTATATTCTCTTTTTCTGATTAGTTTTGAAATCAATACACATATTATACTGAAACAAACTCCTATTTACTGAACAGTAGTTTAAATATTTCAGCATTTTATTTGAGCTAAATTATAACCTTTTTCTCAGACTTCCTCTCTCACATAGTTAATAACGAGATATATCTTGGATTTCCAAGTGAATTTTGTGAGTGAGAAAATGGATGAATGTCTTTCTGCTTTGAATAACTGAAAGCGATTGTGTCTGTGACAGATTAAGTCACTTGTCAAAGAGGTCCAGGAAGGCATAATTCAGCAGGAGCCCCGCCTGGCCAAAGCTATGATCCCAGTTCCGACTCTTCACATCACACTACTGGTCACTCATCTGGCCAGTCAGGAGCAAGTGGAGCTGTGAGTAACCTCTCATTGAAGCACATGCTAGCATTTAGTAATTAAGCATTCAGACAGGAGTTATTTAAAGAAAGAAAACAAATATTAATCCCTAGACTGAGGTTGAAGACACACCATATGTTAGTACCAAGTTACCAAAGATTTAAGCCTTTGCTTTTACTCACTTCAGGGTGTTGAACTGAATGCTTTGTCATGCAAACTGTAAATACTGTAATGAAAAACTTTAAATAAAACATCATATTCTTCTGTCAGCATTGGATAAAAAAAAAAAAAAATAGGTTTAATGTTGTCAATTATTATCTAAATACATATTTTATCCCAGGAATTATGTTGTTTAAAGTCCTAAATGTATTTCCTCAGTCCATAAAAAGTTGTTAAAGGCTTGATTTTGTTTATTGCGTAAAAAAAATACAAGTAAAGATTTTTATCACCATTTCCCAGGTTTTTGTTAACGATTGATTCTGTTCTGCACCTTTGTTGGTAAGACGGAGCTATATTTCTTGATTAGGACCATTCATACTAAAAGTGAGTTAAGCTGCATTCAATACAACTAAAGAAAAAGAGATAAAGCAGTTTGCAAAAAGAATATTAACTTTTCAAAGCATAGTATAAAATTAAAGCACCACCAAAGGGGAAAGAAAACGTTAAATGTGGCCCAGAAGAAATTGTTTCCGACCAGATTTCCTGTAACAAACATGTAGGCAGTGTAAGGAGTGGAGTTCTGGTGTTTGCCAGGTGTTATGGAAATACAATTATCAGAGGAGTAGGACACTGTTTCAATAAACTTAGAAAAGATTGATCTTTTTATTCGTCAGTTTAATCGAAGGCAAGTGGCGTTGGAGACAGTTCACCAGACTTAAACAAACTTGATTGTTTTTTTGTAAACACAGAGTGTATACAACATGAAATTTCGATGCATACAGCTTTTTTAACAGTGAATGAGCAACTTAGCAGTGAAATGAACATTTTCATTTATAAAGTGTAGCAGTGATCAGAATGTAAACAGTGTAGGAGAGACATGGGGCAAAAACCATTACCGGTAATATGAAAGGTTCAGAGCAGTGCAAAATGAATAAATAAATATGGTGCAAAATGCAGTAGAACACTGAGTTGAATTCTATTTAAAAAATAAAAATCCGCTATGTTGTGCAAATAGAATGTGTACAATTGTGATGCAGAGTCTCAATTTGTGACTTGATTAGAGTTTTAACAGTTCTACAGTCTTATGGCAGTGGTGAAAAAGCTGTTGCAGAATCTGCTGGACCTGCATCGAATGCTGCAAAGCCTCTTCCCAGAGGGCAGCAGGGAGAACAGTCCATGTCGGCGTGTGAGGGGTCAGTGATGATGTCACGGGCTCAGGACACAAAGCGCTAGGATTAAATGTCTTTAATGGGGGGAAGAGGCCATAGTGCACACATGGTGCTCACTAGTGAATTAGTGAATGTGAAGCTATGACATCCTTTTATACACATCACAGTACATTCCAGAAATTGATGTGAAACTGATGTAGGGAGGAAGAAAGAAAAATAACCTTGAGAGAATTGCTCTGTTCTCTCTGAACAAGAACCAGGCTGAAAAAACCCCCATGTAACTTAAAAGAAACAAGATAACAGGATTCTGGAGGAATCACACCCTTCCATACAAAACCCAAGGCCACTGATACAATTAGAAGATAAAGCACATAGTTTTTCTGCCAATTACGAAGATTATATAGTTATGCACAAAATTTCCCATTGCACTCCATCAATGAGCTGTAGTTGCCTGATTAGAAGAATGAAAGCATGCATCAGTTATATTACTTCTCTGATTTCTTTCTCTTTCTCTGTTTCCGCGGGTCATTAAACATCCTTAAGTCATTAAATAATTATTTTTTAATTAAGGCCTGAATTGGCATTAAAATGCATTAAATGTGATTATTTAGGCATTTAAAATGCTTTTATTTTGAATTTGTTTTATAGAAACAACTTATTAAATGATATATATATTTGCAAATATATTGCAATATATTATATCGCGATATATTTGCATATTTGTGCGGAACTGCTTCCGGTTGATCGTGAAGCCGTATGTTCGGAAAAGAAGCTCGAGGCGGAGAAAAAGCTAGATAATGCGAAAATTATAATTTCAACAAAAGTGGCTGGAAATCGAGGAATTGCAGCCTGCCGACGGTAAAGATGAAGAAGGAATTTGCCGTGTATATATGAGAGTCATGGGTACCTAACGATGGCATTAAAATTATTTCTAAGAGCATTAAGAGAGCATTATAAAGCATTAAATTAGAGTTGCTCATTCCTGTATAAACCCTGTGTTCTCTAAATTAGTATTTGACCTTAACTGGAATCATTTAGTCCAGTGGAAGTTTTAGATGAACATCAGTCATTCAACACCTTATCAAATACAGTCTAATATGGTGTGGAGTGTTGAAACATCTAAAGAAAAATCATTGGAGACTGTTATCTTTATAACTACATCATTGGTAAAAGGTTCCGTTGGTATTAGGGAATAAAACAAGCTGTTCTGACATCAGAGATTTTCTCTCTTCCAGTTTCCCCCACTGCCCTGGTTACCTGGTTAAAGAAATTATAGGATGTTTTCAGATGGTTTTTCGTTAATACTTAGGGATTATGTAAAGCTATAAACATACAAGAAAAGCAGGATTAATCTATTTTTAGAAAACTGAGCTCAATTTGTACGGTATGAGCAGATATAGAAATGGACCTGAAACTGAACCCATCAGCGACGTTCAGAAATCAACACAATAAATCCTTTGGTGCTTTTAGCCCTAAGTTTAAACAGTATTGCGTCAACATATACTTTAATTCTGTAACAATATTAATATACTGATTTCCTATTTTATTTTGCAGATAAAACCTGTTTAAATAATGCATTCACATACTGATATTAGTGTTTTCCAAAATGTAGTGATCTGTGACTGAGGGTGGAACCATTTTTCACAGGATGTGTTGTAAATACTCTGAAGTTTAATCAAATAGAGACCTTTCAGGTTTATTTAAGCCATCATGCTCCAGTTCTTTGATGGGATCTCTCATCGTCTGTGATCTGTCCAGCTTTATGACAGCAAGTGGTTTACACAGCTTTGGGGTTAACAATGCAAAATATCACTTTAGATTTAACTTTTTTATATTTTAGATTTATAGTGGAATCATTTCCTTTCATTTTCAAGGCAACTTAACTATTTAGTTACTATTATAAGCATAATATTGTAATATCAGGGTTCTAATGTCATCTGAAAACTGACTCTTGAAGAATGTTTGAGTTTCCAGGTGTTTTTTTTGTCTTCTATATTCTTCTATTTTCATTATAAAACAATTAATTTTTTGCAAAACCTCTGGTGGTGTTCATATAGATTTTTATACAATTGAAATGCTCTGCCACGTTTGACTTTGGTCTATTTTTCCTCTCAGTGATTTAGATTTCGGGATTTACCGACTGAATCCACTCTCATTGAAAAATCACATTTATTCCAAGCTTTAGGAATATTTGCAAACAAAATAGTTCATGCACCGCACTTTGAAGAATCTGCATTTATTTAGAAAACTGTTGTTGATATGACAACTCCAGGAGTTTATCCAGGGTGTTCCAGAAAAACAATGAAGCTGAAGATTTTGTGTTTATTCTCTTTGAAAGCTAGAGACTGTTCTACTGACGACTCTGAAGAGATCCACATGTCTACAGTGAGGGTGAACTGATAAATCAGCCCCTATTTCCTTAATTTTGGACGATAGGTTGATACTTGCGTGTAAAACCAATATTATCTCAAATTCAGCCATAGCTGGTATTCTAAACCACTATTTATATCTGAAAGACACTACCTAAAGTGCAGTTAAAACAAGTGTGTTTTGTTTCACAGGTATTATTTAAGTGTTTGATCGATAAGATTGAAGTATTAAAGGTGTTTTGTGATCTTATAACATCTGACAGTGTCGGTTATATGAAGAAACGCAGTGTTGGCTAAAATTGGAATCGGTAGATTACGTTTTTAAAGGTCAGCCAGATGATCAGCCATGATGGCGATCAGTCAGAAAACTGTAAAGGGTACACAGTGATATGAAGTCCATAGTGATCTGAAAATCCACAAACAAAAATTGGAGTCAGGAAATAGTAGTAGATTGATAGAAATTATATTTTTCTGGGTATTTAAAAACAGTTGAAAGGTTTTTGACAGCAGCTTAAATGACCAATTAATACGCATTATATGGAAAACTGACATTCAGACTCATGTTTTTAAGCATATTTCTCATAATTGTTTCTTGTTTGTTGTAAATTTATTATCTGATATTGAATATTATATCTAAACAATGAAATAAAAACAAAAATATTGCACAATACTTAAATGTGGGCTAAATGAAAAGTGTGTTTACTACCTGTTTAATTTATTTATTT